ACACACACCACACCCCAGACACACACCACACCCCACACACATGCCACACCCCACCCCAGATACACACCCTACCCCAGATACACACCACACCCCACACACCACACACCACCCGATACACACCACACCCCAGACACACCACACACACACAATCCCAGTCACACACCACACACCCCACATGCCACACCCCACACAAACACCTGACACACCACACCCCAGACACCACACCACAGCCCCACACATGCCACACCCCACACACACATCACACCCCTCACAACCACACCCCACAGACACACCACACCCCACACACACACTAGCCACAGACTATGCCAGCCACATACCACACACCAGACACACACACCACACATGAGCATGACACATACTGCACACATGCCACGCACCGTACCCCCAGCACACACATCCCAGACACACATACCACACACACTACACAGACCACACAGCAGACATATCACACCCTGCATACCACACACCAGCACCACACCCCCTCACACCACATGCCACATATACCACACACACACCACACACCAGCATCACACACACTACACCATACCCCCTCCATACACACCACACACACACAACCACACACCACACACCAGCATCACACACACTACACCGTACCCCCTCCATACACACCACACACACACAACCACACACCACACACCAGCATCACACACACTACACCATACCCCCTCCATACCACACACACAACCATACACCACACACCTACATACCACACACACCACACACCAAACACACATGCCACACACAACACACATACACATATCAGATACACCACATACATAGATACATCACAATACGCACCACACGATACATGTACCATAACACACACACCACATAACAGACACGCACGCCACACCACAAACACAATCATGTCTACCACACAACAAACACGTACCATGTGCATGCACACAATAAATGCACAGCACAAAACATCACATACACCAAATCATACCACACACACATCAAACACCATACACACAGACCATGCACACTCATTGCACATGTGCACACCTACCAACACACACCACACACACACACTGTACACTACACCTAAAACACAGCCACCCCCATACACACCATACCAAACACAGCCACTCACACATGCACCACACACAGCACAGCATACCACACACATCACACAAACACCAATCCTACCACTGTTGACATGCACACACCACCACACATACTGCACACACCAAAGCACATACACACCGGACACATGCATGTTACCCACACCACACCACACACACCATCACGTCCACACATACACGACCATACACACACACACACACACAGTTGACTTAGGATCGTTTCACCTCACAGTGGGGTTTACTGGGATGCAACCCCGTGGCAAGTGGAGGAGCATGTGTATTGACAGGCAGAGGAGAGCGTTCCGGAGCTGGGGGAATAAAGTTAGCATGTGGCCAAGCTCTGCGCCTCTGAACTGATGAACCCAAGTTCCTCATGGATCACTGGGAATACAGATGGGTGAAAAAATAACCCCACCACCCGTGTGCCAGCACATAGCGCATCTGGCATACAAACAAGGATCGATAGAGATGAATGGTGGATGGGTTGTGAATACATGCAGATACAAATCATGCACTTGTACATTAGTGTGCACACACAGAAATAGATCGATATAATTTTTTAACCAAAGTGTAGTCTTTACCCTGTCAGGGCCCTGCCTTCACCCCTGCCAGGACTATCTTCCATGTCAAGTTTAGACCCGTGTCATTTTCAAAGCTAATAATGGTTCCCCCATACTTTGGGCAGCATTTGGGTATTTGGATTTGGGATGGCCTTTTATGTTTTAACTACAGTGTTAGAAATCAGAGCCCTTGGAAGCACTGGGATCAGAGGGCAGCAGCAGAAGGTGCCCTTGGGCCTCTTTGAGAGGCCCAGGGATCCGGAGAGGGCCCCCGTTTCTAGCGGCCACAGTGGCCTGTTGGCACACAAGTGTGTGTTCCAGCTGCTCTGTGACATTTCACTTTGTTTCAGACTCTCCTGAAAGGCCATGGCGTTCTTGGGAATTAGTTGACCTTGTATGTTGGGCCACCCTTGCTGGACAGGACAAGGCAGTGCTATCAACTCCCTGTGATCTGAGGTCCTTAGCATGTTAGATGAGGCAGCTTCACCAGAAGCTGTCCATGTCTCTTCTGTTATCTGTGATAATTCCACATGCCTTTACAGCACAGCTGTCTGGTTACCTGGGGTCTGGAAATGCCCTCAGTGCCTCAGTAGTGCCTTCCCACAGGCCCCCATGGAGCCAGGCAATGCCTACAGGTGCCTCAGTGGTACTTGCTCAGATGCCTTTGCAGAGAAGTTCAGAATTCCTGCCCACATTGATAAGGTGACTTGGCCAGTAAGTGGCAGGCATAAACTGGTGCTTTCCAGAAGCACTGGGGCTGGTCCAGTGCCCTGAGTGATCAGAGCATACCTGAGTGAAACGTTAGGCTGCGTGAGCCTGGTGACTGTCAGGGAGATGAGGACTCAGAGAAGGGAGCTGTCAGAATTGCTACCTGTGTGGCAGGGGTCTCACTCTCTCCTCCCTCCTCTTGGGACAGAGGACAGAAAGGATGACCAACAGGGCCTCAGGGCATACCCCAGCTGCACTGTCTGTGTCCCCAGAAGGGTCCCCAGAGTCTGGGAGGAAGGAGGGGCCAGGGCCAGGATTAGAAAAGACCCTGCCTCAAGGAGAGAGCACAGAGATGGGCCAGGGAAGCAGTGGGATCCTCAGGAAAAGAGGCTGGGAGCGGCAGTCAGGGTGAGGCCCGGGCAGCAGGAACGGGCAGGGACAAGCCAGGAGTCCCATCATGAAAGACATGATGGCCAGCGGCCAGCACCGTGTGCAGAGAATGGCCCCTCTGGGGATGTGCCCGGCTGCCCCATTAGCTGCAGGAAGGCCACCTGGATGTGAGTTTGGGAGATGGGCTGGCCCTGAGGCAGCCAGTCCTGAGGTCGGAGTGGGCCACAAGCATGGGGATGGCGGGAGGACACAGCGGAGTGCTGCAGGGGACGGCAGTGGGGGCACTTGTCAGGATGGGTCCGAGCAACTCAAGTCACTGGGTGGATGCCTCACCACCCCTCCAGGCCTTCCTCAGGGCAAGGCCACTGCTCAAGGGGCACCTGGTTTGTCACAGAGTAGAATGAGCTCCACATTTTGTGATCACATCCACAAAGCTCTGAAGCCATGGTGGTCCTGGCACCAGCTGGCCCTGTTAGAGGCTTGGGGTGGGGGTGAGCAGATGGGAGGTGCCCCAGCGACAGGCTGAGGCGAGTGCTGGAGCCCAGATTGCCGGCAGCCTCCCCCGACTCCTGAGTAGCTGTAATAAACCCAGCCCTGGTGGATAAACCTGGCCCTCGCTTATACCAAGGTGATCAGTCATCTCACGACAGTCCCAGCTGCAGGAGGAAGACTTACCTACGGCATCTGCCACAGCAGTTAAAGTTTATTTGCCTCCAACTTAAGCTAATTCTCTAAAAGTACTGGGTTGCAGTGACAGGCAGGGCCAGGGGGAGCATCCGTCCTCAGGACCTCTACCCTAGATCCTTCTAAGCCACGACAACTTCCCTTCTTTGAGGGTGCGACCAGTGTCACCTGGCTAGCCACTGGGAAGAGCCAAGGCACATCCAGGTTGGTGGCAGCCTCACAGCATCAGACCAGCCTCTTGTCCCCACCCCACAGAGGCCAAGGGGGTGATCTGGGAGTAGCACCCCAGCCTGGCTGCTCTCGTGAGGTAACAGGGTTGGATGGTTAGGGGGCTTGGAGCACTGGCCCAAACAAGAAACCAGTGGTGTTTTCAGGGGGCCCTGCTGGGAGATGGAAGACAGCTCCCCACGGGGGGCCCAGGATTCCAGGAGCTCCCCAGCAGGCCTCCATGGGACAGACTTGGGTTTGCAGCTGCTGCCCTGTCCCGCTGAGGGTGCGGTGCTGATGGGGTGGCCCTGCACACTGATGGTAACTCTCACTTTCCCTCTCTCTCATGCATTCAGAAAGAGTTGGATAGTTTAAAAAGGAATACACTGAACGTAAGTACGTCTTTAACATCTTTAATGTCGTATGATGATCAAGCACATATTGAAATAGTATTTACTGACGCCCCATGTTAGCGGTGGTAAGCACATGTGTCTGTTTCTACTCACACCCCAGAGGGCAGAGCTTTGAGGGTTTTGCTGTCAGTGGTCCCATGATGGGGTGTTGGGTGATGAATCCAATCCAGCTCAGGCCACCCAGATGCTTAGTCTCAAGGGCTTGGTCAGGAGAACCTTCCAGAGGCTCCTGTGACTCAGTGACTCCAGTCCCCTGGCTGGTTCCTGGTGCAGGTCACATGAGGGAGGAGACTGGGCTTTTATGGAACTCACTTCACTCTCTGTTCAAAGAAAAGTGTTGTTACTTATCATAACAGCTCAAAAAAATCTGTTTCTTAAAATGAGATTTTGCCTGGATGCCCATCAGGTGGGGAAGGGAGTATCTATCTAGTTGATGGGCACCTAGATGTATATAGAGACATGTAATATGTACTTATATTTGTAGATAGATATATGGAGTTATCTGTGGTTAGAGTCCAAAACATTTTGAGTGGGGAAAAAACAAATTATAGAGTGTTAAGATTTTTTTGGTCTTAATTATGCACAAAAACCAAACCTGTTCACAAGGGCTTGTCTACCAGGCCAGGGCCAGATGGGCCGCCAGGCAAAACAGTCGTGGAGCACCTTCCAAATTTCCTTGAGTTTATGGAATGTTTCCTTCAAAATAACACTTCTATAAAAAATTATTATAATAAAAGCAATGCTTGTTTGTTGTAAGGTTGGAAACTCCAGGGAAGTATAAAGAAAAAATTTAAACAATCCCAAATTTAACTATCCAGAGGCAGTTACCACCAGCATCCCAGCCATTTTTAGGTCAAGACGGTATCTGCGTTCACACATGTATACACGGGTGTGTACATATATATACACATATCTATTCTTTCACGAAACAGTATTTTTCTGTGTTGCTGAATATTCTTCGATGGCACTTGGAATGAGTGACTTGCGGCCCCCTTCTTGGACATTTCCCAACTCCTCACTGATAGAAACAGGGCTTCACTGGGCCCATCATTGCCTTGGGACTCATTCCTAGGATTGTCCAGCTAAAGAGTCTGAGCTTGGTCAAGTCCTTGGGAGGAGCGTTCTCTGATGATCCTGGACAGTGGGGAATTGTTGACCAAGAGACTGGACAAAGGTGAGCAGATGCCAGTCAGTCAAGCAGGGAAAATGCATTACTAAAGTCACCTTCATTAAACTGGCGATCTCTTCTTTTCAAAAATCCAGCATGTGCCACAGAAATGAAAAGTTCTCTGGCCATCACTGTCCTGCCCAGGGAGGGAAGCGTGGGTCCTCCCACACCATTTAATACCTGTGTCTGGACGCACCCCTCCCCCACACCTGAGAACAAGGCCAGCTTTTCTGTGTGTGCAGGTACTTTGGACTCTTTTGGCTCTGGAATTTGTTTTTCCTGCTCAGTGTTCTGAACTCCTTCCTTTTCACTGCTGAACATTCTCCACGAAGCCACACTTCATTTTGTCATTCCAAGGTTGATGGGCATCTAGGCCAAATCTAACTTCTAAAGACCGATTCTTATGAGGTGTCATGGTCAAGCAGAGGCCATGCCCGGCGCTGGTCTAGGTGGCCCATGGCCCACCTGGGGGCCTTGGTGGCCCTTGAGGAAGGGCAGGTGCTGATCAGGGAGCCAGGTCGCTAGGCAAGAGGTGGGAGGGTGTCACCCCGGTCCATGCTGCTGGGGTGCCTGGCCTGATGCAGGCTGCACCTGTGGGAGACAGAAGCAGCAGCGTAGGCTGGCCGGCCTCCCCTGCCCCACTGTAAGCAGGAGCTTCGGAGACAGAAGAGCACCTGCACCCCCTCACCTGCCCTCCAGGGCCTGGCCTGGCCCTCCCCACCATCCCAGCTCAGCTCCAGGGTCTGCACCTCTGGGGCTGGAGCTTAGTGGGAGCACGGGCCCCCTCAACCCTTTCTGGATTTGAATGGAAGCCAGTGTGTGAAGCAGATCGAAGTGAATGTGCTTGTTTTTCCTTCAGTAACGTACAGGGAGTTGAGCCTGTCCCAACATGGCCAGCAGCCCCTGGAGGGCCAACAGACTTCACAAGCAAGGAGGGCCGGGAGGTGACCTGATGACCAGACCTTGCTTGTGGGCACCCCCCCGCCCCACCCCCAACACTCTGGTTTTCACAACCCCACCCCAGCCACCTGGAACAAATACGGAGTCTAGGGTTAGCCCTCAGGGTCGGCCACGTAGCCTTCTTGCCCTGGGACGAGGCTGGCCTCCCCAGGCAAGGCAGCCTGGGCCACAGGGGAACGTCCCTGCCTCGCCCACCCTCCTTGTCTCCCACAGACAAGCTGAGGCTGGCCAGGCTCCACTCTGGCAGGGCGCAATAGACTGAGAATGTGTGAAGTAATTGGCCTCTCTACTTTTTTCAATAAGTAATTAAGCTCAAAAGCCCAAACAAAAGTAACAGAGGTTTGGGGTAGAAGTGGCCAGTGTCAGGCCCAGGGTCCATGCTCAAGGCTGAAAGCCCACCCTGGATGTGCTGCACTTGGCGGTCCTAGTGTAATTCTGCAGGGCCCGGCCCCGCCCCCGCCAGGGTCTGAGCCCTCCAGCCTGTGACATGTGCTCCCCTCCAAGCCTGCCACAGGTTCCAGTGTTTCAATTGGAGAGACAGGCCCTCGTGGTCCCCACTCTGGCCCAGCCCCCTCCACACACAGCTGGCCAAGCTCTGGGCCTCTCTGTGCTGTGGCCCTGGTGATGGCAGAGCCTTTGGGATGTCTCTGTCCATGTGGTCACAGGACATGTGTGTGGCAGCAGGGCCAGGGTGAGGTGGGATGCTGTTCCAAAGCCCAGAAGCATTCTGCAGGAAACCAGCGCAGCGCTGTGAGGAAGGGGGTCCTAGGGGACACAGGCCACACAGGTGTACTTTGAAAAATGGCAATTAAGGTCAAAGAGCAGGAAGTCCACAGGACAGGGGCCAAGGCCAAGGCTCGCGCTGGCCATGGGGAAGCCACCTCCAGGGGAGTCCCAGGGACTGAATTGGAAGTTGTCCCAAGTCACTTCAGGTCCAGCTGGACAACAGAAGTAACCCCCCTACCCCCTCGTGGGGTAGCTTCTTTGGGTTCTAAATGTGGACTCAGAGGTAGAAACGGTCTGTGCCCCCAGGTCCTGCAGACATTCGCGTTGTCTGGGAGAAGAATGGGCGAGCTCTGGAGACCTGTGTCCCTGTGCAGACCCATGCACTGCCCGATGGCAGGGCCCATGCACTCAGCTGGCTGCAGGACGCCATCAGGGAAAGCACCGAGTATCGCTGCTCTGTCATCTCCTCAGCAGGGAACAAGACTTCGAAGGTGCAGGTTGCTGTGATGAGACCTGGTAAGTGATTCCCACGGCCACTGGAACCCTTTTAGGAGGTGATTTTTCACTATTTACAATGGCAGTCGAAAAAAACATGCTGGAAAGCATGCTTGCACGGTGGCATTTTGGGTTTGGGATTTATTGGCTTTCCACTGAGAAAGGTGGCCAGTGGGCATCAAGGGTGCCATAAAGGCCCGCAGAGCTCTGGCCTGGGGACCCTGCTTGTCTTCCAGAAGTGGCCCACCAGGAGAAGTGGAGCAGAGAGCTTTCCGCCTGGAGGGCTGTGGCTGGGGAGCACGACCGGATGATGCAGAGCTGGAGGAAGGCGTGGGTACGTGGCCGCAACCGGGCAAAGAAAGTAGGGCTAGAGCCAGGGACAGGGCACCTGCCACATCCGGTGGATCTTTCAAGGGACCCATTCAGCATGGACCCCACTTGCTCCCTCTTAGCCCCAGAGCAGTTTCCTTTATGAAACCTGCAACCCTGCGAGGGGAATCCCATGTCTTGTTGCTGAGGCTGCAGATCAAGGGGCATCTGGCCCCAGCCCTTAAAGGAGACCGAAGAAGGGAGGCAAGATTGGGAGGGACTCACCGGTGGGAGCTGTCTGTTAGATGGGCCCCCACGGCCACCCCACCCCCTGTACAGAGCACTCAGCCAGTCACTACTTTGAGGAGAGCAGGAAACCTGGACAGGTGGGGAACCCTCCAGGTAGCTCCTGGCTGGATGCCTCACCTGCAGCACCTGCTGGAGGGGTCAGGGGGAGTGGCTTACTGAACTAAACCCTGGCAGGGGCTGGGCTATGGCATGGAAGTTGCAGGCAGCAGGGCAGAGGCTCCCTAGACAGGCTAGGCTCCCTAGAAGCTCCCTGTCTCCCCACGGAGACAGAGTTGTCCAGCCCTGGCTCCCAAATAGCTGATACAGAAGGCAAAGGCAGGGATTCATCACTGTGTGTGTGCTACCACCCAGGGTGGGGTCTGCAGCACTCAAATGAGTGCGTTCAAGTGTGTGGGTTACGTGGCTGCCAGCAGACCCCCGAACTGTTGCCACCAAAGCCTGGGCATTTACAGATGATCCTCTGTACTTCAGCACACACAGCCTCCCTCTCTCCAGCCCTCCTCCCTCTCAGCACAACCTGGGAGTCGAGTGAATGCGCTGCTGCTCTGTCTTCCCGTCACATATGGGAGAACCACTCCTGGCATGTGGATCTTTAGACCCCAAGGAGGGGAACCACAACAGGGGGCGGAGGCCTTGAGTGCTCTGTCTGGGATAGGCTATGAGACAGCCTGGGCTGCAGAGCAGGAAAGGCCCATCCGTTCCGCCAAGGATTCAAAGACCACATTGTTCTTTCAGGAAAGCTGTAGCAAGGACACCTTGTAGCCACCAGGAAGGAGTCCCTGACACCGACCTCAACCCCAACCAGACCCTGCTGCCACTGACCACAGCCACCCCCGGAGAAGGCCTGGTCCCCCGCAACTGTGAGCTGTCTTGCCCAAACCCGCTCTGAACACAGCCACTGGGCTACCACCTGATGCGTACCTCCCAGAGACGGGGCAGTGGAGAAGCCCTGAACCCAAGTGGGCCTGTGACAGGAACTAAGACTTAAAAAATTAGGTGCTTACCTGGGACAGGAAGTTCTGTCTGGCACAAGCAGGTAACCAGGATGGCTAACAGGCTTCGACCGCTGCTCGTGAACTAAAACAACAGTATGTGTGTAGGCTCCTCCTCTAGGGTCAGGCAGCAGGCTCTGAAGGCTGATCCTACACTGTCCCAGTGACTCCCCTTTACAGAGTGCCCCTACCCCCTAACAGCCAACAGGGTTAGCATGGCCAGCACAGATTGCTGCTTTTATTGATGCAAATCAAGCCTGCTGCTTCTCCTACCTGCAGACTTAGCCAAGGAACTCTAAGACGCATGACTGGGACAAGAAAAGGTGAGACTCCACTTGAAAATGCCTTGCCTTAAACCCTGAATGACTGTGAGATGCGATCTGGGAGTGCATCTGTCAAGTCTTTTGTGTTTTCTTCACTAACCTCAGAATACTGGGCTCTGTTTTATCAAGCGCTGCATTTATGCCTCTGTCCCCGGTCAATGCTCAGCTTCTGCAACAGGACACCGAGCTTGTCGCAGAAAGCCAAACAGGTCAATTATGCAAATCTCCTGGTGCCATATTAAATTTCTTGACAATGGAATGAGTGTCATGAGTGTTTTGTTCTACCTGCTTTCAAGTCTCTAACTATTAAAGCTGTATCTCTGAAGACTGTCACTGTGTGAACTTGTCCTAAACCTGCTCAGCCTTTAATCTTATACACACGTCTCTTCTTGTCTGTGGAATGACAGTTTTCATGTCTATCATAAAACCAAAGCTTCTGTTAAAAGCAAGCCGCACCCCTCTGGTGATCCTAGCAAATGCTGAGTGTCTTCCCAGCAGTATAACAATGACCTGTTTTGCATCCCCTCTCTCTGGGGCTGGACGAGTTCTGTAACAGCCTTTGTGTGGGATCAGCATACATCGCCTGCTAATTCCTTCAGGATCCATCACGACAGAGGTGTCCTGAAGACGCCGGAGACACCCTGGTTGTCTCCACACGTCCCCCCTCCGCACCCCGAGTCAAGAGGCCTAGCCGCCTGTGAGGCGTGTGCTTGCCCATCCAGCCAAGGATGCCAGTCTTGCTCCCAGAACTATCACACTCACAACCTGAAGTTTTCCTGTAAAATATCCATCAGCTCACTGTGGTTCTTGCTTTGGGTGTGGCTTCAACCACTACAAACGGCTGAGTGAAATGCTATGGGCTTTGGACTTACATTCTTGGTGCTGTTCTCTGTATCTTCTCCTAAAGTCTGGATTTCGAGCACTTTCACTCTTAACAAAATAATTACATACTTGAAGTTTTCATAATGTGGAGTGTTCTATTGGGAAATGTAGTTATGAGGATGAATTTTTGAGTCTTTGCTCTGCTGGAAAAGTAAAAATAGAGTTGTACATTGTTCAGTTAAATGACTGTACTTGGCGCCCCTGGCCCAGAGCTGTGTGCTTCATGAGGCACCATCTGCACGTTGAGGGAGCTGAAGTCACCTGCAGCAGTGGCTTCAGCTGGAGTCCTTCACTGCCAAGAAAATGACAGCATCACTGGGCAACCACGTGGTGAGAGTTTGGTCAGTCCCAGAAGGAAAGCTCTCAGCAGCTGCATGAAATGTTGAAAAGCCTACCTACTCTATTTAAGCTGCTTTTATCTTCAGATTAGCAAAACAAACATCACAGACCTAGAGAGCTCTAAAAAGGGGCTCTGAGCAGAGGAATTCATCTCTGTAGACATCTTTAACTTTTTGATTTATCAAATTTTAAAATTCTAGCTGTTGAGTGCAGCTGATAGCTATTTTGTCTTTTTCCCCACAAATTAATTTTGGAACTTTCATTCTCAAATAATCTCCTATTTTCAAACTTACCACAACTGACTTGCTACCTACTGATGAGGGGAGGAGGAAGCAGGAAAGCCCTCTCCTTTCCTGCCGGCCCCGCTGACTGCCCTGAAAGATAAATGGGTGGAGATGACTCGCTGCTTTCGGACTACTGATGGCCTGACTGGCCACATCTACTTCCCATGTCTAAACAGCTCAGAACGTGTGAAGAACAGCAAGGCTCACACTGGTCACTGTGAGCTCCACAGATGACAGGGCGGACGGTGCCTTCATACACCAACCTCTGGTCACATTTCCAGCCCTGCCCATAGCATGTCATTTCTGACTCATTCCAATTTTATTTGCTCATCACAGGCCACTTCTCAGAGGTACAATATTGGCATGACTGAATTCAATTAAGAGCACTTTCAAAGCCAAAACAATACCCTGCTTACCTGACAAGCAAAAAGCAGTGAAGATTCTTTCCTGCCATTGGCTGTGGTGACAAGAAAGCAAGCGCAGGTTGGGACTGAGCCAGGATCTGGCCCCGGCAGGTCTGTGCAGTGTTGGAGGCTTTTGACAATCATTACTTCCAGACCTAGGAGTGCTGGGGACAGCAGAATCCCCATTACACAGCCCCCTTTTATTTCAGGGCCTAGACTGTCCAAAGGGGATAAATTAAGACATATGAATGATCAAGTAAGACAGAGACCACTGATAAGCCTAAAATCACCAGAGTCGGAAACAAAATTTAATAATTACTCTTTATTTAAAATAAATAAGCCCTCTTACTTACAGGGAAAATATGAAAGTAAACTCTGTCCTCCTGGCCTAAGACAGAAACCACATTCAGAATATGTTCATTTAAAAAGGAAAGATTTGTTGATTATCAAACAAATCTAGGTACTTCAATACACATTGTTTCTTTGAAAAATAAAGACTGAAAGGAATAATTCATTTCAAAAAGTCACAGGTTAGAAAACCGATTTCCCTTCTGAGGCTCATTTTAGCAAATCCTCCAAGTGTTACCAAATCTTTTAAAAAAGCTACATCCCCTGAGAAAGGGCCCTTGCCCGGTAGCCCTCTTGCTCTGACACCAGCAGCCCTGCATCCTTCTGCCAAGTGGCTCCCTGCAGGACGGTGCTGTTGCCAGGCGGGAATGGCCCTCCATGGCCACCTCCAGCAAGCAGGAGCTCACCACCTGCTATCTGCAAACTCACTCACTTGGCTCAGCTATTCTGCAATGGAGAGGAAGTTTCCTTAGCAGCCGAAGTATTCTAAGTATCACATTTTCCAGTACTTTCCAGATCCACAGTGTGCTCGGAAAGCCAGAGCTGTGTCACCAGGCTTTTAGAAGAGATTAACACCTGCACATCACATCTGAGTGACCTTTAACAGGCTCCGCAGCACTGAATGCCTGCAGACACTGCTTCATGTGCCCTTTAATGCTGATCAATTTCCAGATTCAACAGTTACACAAATTACATTGTCATGAAAAACTGAGAAGAAAAAGCCCCAAAGTCTTTTTCAGACCTCCCCTCCTTACCCAAAATACAGATACACAGGCAAGAACTCTCATAAATTCAAATTCATCATTTGAGAGGTTGAAGCCTCCAAGGATTCCTCTAGCTCCAGGGCACATGGACTGTATGCTTCCAGATGTTTTTTCCAGATTTCAACTAAAATGAGAAAACAGCACGAGTGAGGAAGAGGCATCACCCAGTAGGAAGACTCCTGTCAGAAAACCAGCAGCATGGACAAGGGAGCCTGTGGCCACTGCCCAGCAGCTCACGGTGCTCAGAGGTGTCCTGGCAGGCGTTCACTCACTGTTCTCAGCCTGCTGGGCCAGGTTGCCCCTTAGTGAACAGAAGCTAGGGGGCCATCTTCTACAGGGCAGCTGGGGCCTTGTGTGGGTGGGCTAGGAGAGGACTGAACCTTTACTTGGCCTTCCAAGCCTGTCTTGAGTATAGCTATCCTTAAGGCCACCCATTGTCAAGAGACATCTGACTTGAAGTCTGAGACAGTCACTGACAAGCAAAAGTCTGATAATACCTCTTAGGCAATGGACTGGCCTTGTTACAGCCAGTCTCAGCTGGACTTACTGGGCCCTGCTACTCAGCTGGTCTTGCAACATTATCAAGCTGCTCTCCTGGGGACTCTAATTAAAGTCGATAAATAACTTAGAGGACACGCGACCTGACACGACTCTCCCTTAAGCACTCACTGTAGTGTGGCTCTTCTTTTTCTGTCAGGGCTGGGGGGCCATCTTCTGCAGGGCAGCTGGGGCCCTGTGTGGGCGGGCTGGGAGGTGCCTGAGGCCTGGGTTCTCCCGCCAGCTCCTGCTGCACATTCTCCAGCATGGTCTTGTATGCCTGTCGGGCCGCCATTGTCAGCTCAACCATCTTGTGGAACTGATCCTTGGGCACAAGTGAGAGCACACAGGTAACAGCCCAGCGACAGAGGACACGGGTCCCTCCAACTCAGCAATGGCACCCTCCACAGAGAAGCAGGGCTGACACGGGGTCATGTGGACCTTATGCTTATGGATGGCTACCAGGGATGCTGCCCCAGAGGGAAGAGTGGGCTAGGCCGATTTCTTGGGCCTGCCTGAGGTGCCGCTATGTCAGCACAAGCCCAGAACAGAGCTCAATTCAGAACCAGACACCCCATGCTGTCAAGGAGACAAAGGCTACCTTTTTATAAGAAGGTTCTGCCTAAGTGGTGGCTTCTCCTCAATGACAGCCTACTGGAGGTTCTGGAGCTGCTCTGGGCAAGCCCACACTGACCACCTGCCCCCACTTCCTCCCACAGGCAGTGACTGAAGAGGCCTGTGCCCTGTGCGCTCACCTGGGCCCCATCGTAGCTGAAGATCCCTACCACGCTGACAGGAACTGCCTTATTCAAACTGCGCCCCAGAGCTTTGCGGTTGAGAGCAAACACAAAGGGAATGTTCTGCTCACAGGCATAATCAATAATTGTGTGCAAAGTGTCATCCAGCCCACCTGGTCAAAGGACAATAAAAAATGACAGGAAGACACGTCACATGGAGTGTGGTATTAATACTGGTTGCCAAGAGCTTTTTCTTAGCAACACACCCATCTATGATTTTATACCCAAGGCAGAGGTCCCTGAAAATATGAAGAGAAAGCAAGTTGCAGAATCAACTCTCCAAAAATATGGGGAAAAAATGGGAAAGAAAACACACAGCTGGTATTGTCTTCACAGGAAAAGTTAACTATTAGTATTACTGAAACTTACCACGTGCCAGACTACTCGTCAACTGCTTCACACCTATTAGCTCCTGTGTCCTCCCCCAAATCCCAAAAGGCAGACAGATGCTGTGTCCTCACCGACAGATGGAGAACCAGAGGCACAGAAAGGTTAAGTTCCTTATCCCACATTGTACCCCTGGTCAAGGCACAGTTCTGGCTCCCGAGGGCTCACCACCCTCTACTCCCTGACCCTGCTTCTG